AACAGTCCTACCTGGACTATTATGCTGTTACCTGGACTTTGAAAGCTGGAGGGAGAGATGAGAAGATAGCTGAGGTCTAAGTGCCTGCCCGGCAAACACAAGGTCCAGAGTTCGATCCCCAATACCGCATGCCTTGCCAGCCCTGGAAGCCAGGGCATACTGTGCCAGCCACCGAAAATGCGTGGTGGCACACACCTGTAATCCCAGAACTAAGTCTGAGACAGAAGGATCACTATGAGTCCATGCTGCGTAGTGAGACCCTGTACCAAATAAATGAAAGATTTTTTAAAAAATATTTGAAAAACAAACGTGGAAGGAGAGGTTGATGTGGAATATTCAAGAGTAGCACCTTACAATTTCTTTCCCTCAGCTGGTCTTTTGAAAGGAACAGTTAAAGCTTAACATATTTCTTTTACCCTAATTTTTTTCCTCTTTTGAATTTCTTACAACTTCTTTGTTATTGGTTTTTTTCTTCTTTAAAGGAATCTTATATGTTTATTTCTGGTAATCTGAACAACTAATTTAAAGATAGCATCATGTAATACAGTAACCCACTATTGAATTCCTATTACTTTGTTTAGTGAAATCTTGTACCGCTTTTATTTTTTTTTCTATCACTATTTAGTACTTTTTAAAAAATAAAAAAGGAAGAAGTAAAAAAAGAAATCCTAAGAGTAGTGTTGACTACTAAGGTCAGAGAGGCAATGTGTGTGTGTGTGTGTGTGTGTGTGTGTGTGTGTGTCTGTGTTTGTAAACATATATAGCTCTATTTTTTTCTGGGTTGGAATTTTTTATTGCAAATATAAAAGCTAAAAATACAAAATAATGAAATCCATGCATAGCTTTGCTTGTCAGAGATAACCCAGCTTCCACCTGTAGGTCACGTGTACAACTGTATACACACACACACACATGCACACACACAGGGACATACACACACATGTACACACAGAGCGCAGGTTTTCTTTCCAGAAATTCTGTCCTACGGTGCATATTTTGTAAATAGCTTCCAAGCCCCGAGACTCCTGGAAACGTATCTCCCCTGGCAAGTGCGTTCCTCACAGCTAGCCCGTCACTGCTGTGGCTGCCTAAGACTGCACTGCAGGTAGGAATCTATGGCACAGTGATTTTTATTTGCCATCCCATGTGCATGATGAGGGAGGTTGTTTCTGTGACTGTCTTTGTCATGTCACTGTGATATTTCGTGTATTATTGTTGCAATGGCAGTAATTGTGGAGGTGGGATAGTAACATACACTGCACTGTGCACTTTGTAAGCATGTTTTTATGATTCACATTAATATTGCAGCGATTGGAGTTCTGCTGTAATTAAAGTGGGAACAGTTGTCTTGGTGCCCATGTGAGCAATGAAGGTGTCACAGAGCTCCTGGTGCCTCAGATGGGGGTGGGAGGGAACCAGAGGCAAGGATGGGCCCTCACCCAGCCCTGCTATCTGCCCTCGGGACACCCAAGAGGCCTGGTGGTGCTGGGGGCCACACCCTGTACCCCTGGGGGCCTACACAGCAGATATTCAGTGTCACTTCCAGCCCTGTGACCTACGCCAAGGACGTCTGCCTGCTGCAGTGAGCACAGGGGGTGCCAGGGAGATAGCTCAGCAGCATAAACACCTGCCTTGCGATCCTCCTGCCTCAGCCTCCCAGAGTCCTGGAGCAACAAGTGTGCCTCATCATACCTGGCCTAGACTTATATTTTTATGTTGATGGATAAAACAAATAAGAAACGGCACAAAGAACACCTTTTATCCCCTCAATGTTTCTAATTTTCTTGGGGTAGATCACTAAATTTGGAATTGGTAGATAAAATGTATCCATCTTTATAGGTTTTAAAGGCCTAAAGAATGGTGTAACAAATGTTACAGCCACTTTCCCCTCATTCCAGGGGGTTGAATTCAGGCTTTTACACTGAGTTGTATCTCAGCCTTTTGGATTTTTTTGAGGCAGAGTCTCCTTAAGTCCCTAAGTTACCCAGGCTGGGGTCCACCCTGTGTGCCTGCTGCCTCAGCCTCCCAGAGAGCCCCTGTGCAGCGCATGGGGCCTTCCTCTCAGTCTCCTATGGTAGCCATTGGTCCTCGTGCTGACCTGATGTGCTAAAGCATGCTCTTTTGTGGGTCGTATTTTTTTTTCTTTTCAAAGTTTTATTGATAAACATATAGCAATGAGACAGTTTCAAATCAAATCGAAAGTACAGTTTCAACAAATAATATACTGCATTAATAGCATACTCTTGTTTGGCGCCCGTGGTGTGCTGCCCACACACTTGGGCTTTGCTTCCAGAGGCCACTCAGTGGGAGCTGCAGGTGTGGCCGGGCCTCTCCTGGGGCAGGTAGGCTGGTGCATCTGCACAGCACCTTGGAGGTTACAAAACACTTTCCTCGTATGATCCAGTTACAAAACAAAATGGATGAGCAAGCCCAGAACAGGGCTGCCATGAGGATGAGAAAGATGGCGTGGTCTTTTGTGTTGCTTATAAAAACCATATTGCATAATTAATATAAAATTCGCAGTTTTAAAACTGCAAGCATATGTTCCTAACACATCATAGGATGTTCATACGTTTATATTTAAAGTGCACAGGAATTGACTATACTTCATGACTTCTGATAAAGAAGTCCTGTAAAATGTTCAAATATCCTGCAGGGCAGCACGGGCTAAGATTCATGGCATCCATCCATGCGGTGCACCCTGCAGCCATGGAGTCAGGACAGTGGTGCTGGAAAGTAACATGCGGCACAGCACCAGATTCAGGCAAAGGCTCCTCTGTGTCAGTCCCATATCCAGCAGTAGCTGTGAGGCAATCAGACGTGCTTAGGGACATACCCCAGGATTTCACAGTGCTTATCTCTGTGTGGACAGACACAGGGGAACTTCAAGCAGGTTTTGATGAATTGTGTATTTGAAATGGGAATGCACTGTTTGTAGTAGGTTTAAATAATGATAATGAAATGATTACTTTTTAAGCAAAGTAAAACCAAAGAGATGGTACACAGTGGCCTCCTGGGGGTGTGAGGCAGTTAATGCACCACCTTGCAGCATGAGTGGAAAGGTCTCTGATGCGGGTTGGGGGAGCTCATGACCTTTGCCACAGGACAGGAAGCTGAGGCTCAGACTCTTAGAAAGCCTCACTTTCCTGACTGTGCAATGCCAGTCAGGGGCAGAGTGGGTTGCACTTTGAGAGAGGCCTGTGTGGCACCAGTAGCTAGGCTTCCAGAGACCTGCCTTCTCTATAACCTATTTGTCCCCTGTCCCCTTTCCTGCAGGCTGCAAAAGTGTGCACTATGACTTGGTTTTCCTCCTGGACACCTCCTCCAGCGTGGGCAAGGAAAACTTTGAGAAGGTGCGGCAGTGGGTAGCCAACCTGGTGGACACATTTGAGGTGGGCCCGGACCGCACACGCGTGGGCGTTGTGCACTACAGTGATGCGCCCACCACTGCCTTTGAGCTGGGTCGCTTCAGCTCCCGAGAGGAGGTGAGGGCAGCAGCAGGGCGCATCCCCTACCACGGCGGCAACACCAACACAGGCGATGCCTTGCGCTACATCACGGGCCGCAGCTTCTCCCCGCAGGCCGGCGGGCGGCCAGGAAACCGTGCCTTGAAGCAGGTGGCCATCCTGCTGACAGATGGCCGCAGCCAGGACCTGGTGCTGGACGCCGCAGCGGCCGCTCATGCGGCGGGTATCCGCATCTTCGCGGTGGGCGTGGGCACCGCGCTGAAGGACGAGCTGGAGGAGATCGCCTCTGAACCCAAATCTGCCCACATCTTCCACGTGTCGGACTTTGACGCCATCGACAAGATCCGTGGCAAGCTGCGGCGCAGGCTGTGCGAGAGTGAGTGAATGGGGGAATCCTAGTGGGGTTTCCTGTTCTAGCCAGCTGGCCGAGGGAGGCAGGGGCCCTAGGCAGGAGCAGGGGGGGCGGCAGAGGAAGGAGACATGGCCCTTCAAGGGCCAGAATCAATCTCCAGGGACCTAGTGATGCCCACACTCAGCAGCCCAGGAGGATTGTCTTGCCCCTGTGGGACAGATGTGGGGGTCAGAGGAATGGGTTTGAGATGGGAGCAAGGGAAGTCTAGGTCTCCTCTCCATCTGTGAGGTGCCTGCGCTCTCACCCAGTGTCACCCTGGCTTCATGGTGGCTTCCAGGAACAATCAGGCCAGCATAGATGCAGAGCAGCTGGCCAGAGGTGGCAGAGGGCTGTGGGCCTGCTGCCCTCTGAGATAGCCTCGGGCCTCTTACTTGTTTTGTTTGACATCTGCTCCTTGTGACTGAGGCTTAGTGTACTGGGCAGCAGGCAAGCAGGAGCTAATAACTGACCCAGAAGCCTGACCTTCAGTGTCCCGGGGTCACTGTGAGGACAGTCCCTTCTCAGGACAGGAAGGATGGCGGGGTCTCCTCCTGGTCTAGCCTGTCTCCAGTTTCTGCCCCTACCTGCTTCCTTGGGTGACTTCAGTTGTTCCTGGGTCATAGTGGGTACTAGGTGACTTTGGAAGACAAGTTGTGAAATACTTAGAGGCTTGTTGGAGCTGGGAGTGTAATCTCAGCCCGTCTTGCAGACTGCTGCATGGCACTGAGCAAGGCCTGGCTGGGGAGCCCAGTGCTCACTGCATGAGGGATACCACAGCCTTAGGGAAGGAAGGGGTGGTAGAGGACAGGGTTGGCAGGGGAGCAACTGCATGTGGCTCAGCACACATGAGTCTCACCAGCAGCTGAAGCGCAGCAGAAACAAATGCTTAGCTTGTTTACCAAAATGCAACACACCTTTCTGGGTTGCTTATTTAATCTCTACCTGTCTCACAGACACTGGAGACCTGCTTTGAGTGTGGCTGCCCCCTGATTTCTAGAATGATAGAAGAAAAAAGTGAGTCTCTGTCCTTAGGGTGCTCCTAATCTAGAAGTATGACAAGGACTCAGGAAAAGAATGGTTCTGAGGTTTTGCACTGAATGAAGGTCAGACAACCCCACGAGACTGGCCTCACTTGGCTGTGCAAGGCAGAGGCCATGCTGATGGGGTCTTGGGGGCAGTGTGCTCAGGCCGCCCATGACTTGCTTGCACTGGAGAGGAAGAGGTGGTGCTGGACCTGGGGATGCCACAACAGCCAGTGAAGTATAGTAACTCTGCGTGCAGAGGGTCATGGAAGGGAGTGGACATTGCTGGGATTGTCAGATTGTCATTTCCAATAAAGGAGATCCTATGTGCCAAGGCGAAGAGTTTGTTGGGTTCTTACACGGAGATGTGACGTGATCATTCTGGGTAGAGAATGGAATATGACAGCAGAAAAGAACAGCATGTTGGCCCTTGACAAGAGAGCTAGAGATAGCCCAAGAAATGGACTATAGGAGAGATCAGCATTGATAACTACATCCATTTTATGGATGAGAAAGTTGATGCCAAGAAGCTAAGTGAAGGTAACCTACAGCCTAGTATGTGAGCAAGGCACTGACCAACGGCTTAATGTAAGTGACTTACTTTGTTGCTTATTACAAACTGGTGACAGGGAGCAGAATCCAGCCTTCAGCCTCCCACAGATTGGCTCCTCCTGCTATGTCACTAGACAGCAGCTGTCACCATCACCAAACTGAGCTGTCAGGGGCAAGTTTCAGCGAACTGGTCCTAGAAACCCCACTGTGACTTCACACATGCACAAAAAGAAAGATGTCAGAATGCTTCAGCGATGAAATCAGGCTCCTTCTGCACTCTCCATGGCCAGGTTCCTGCCTGGGTGGCAAGACTGCTTAAGCAGGTGTGGGTGTCTTTAGGGCTGGGAACAGGACTTAGAGGAGAGAGGGGGTGAACGGGCACCCAAGACAGCTTCAGTGCCCCTTAGTGCCCTGTGCGCCTGCAGCCCAAGGACATGCCAGAAGCTCATTCTCATTGGATGAAGACAGTCATGACACTTCTAGACTCATAGTGGAAATAGATGGACTCTTGGGGGCCTAAGCCACCTGACACTGTCTAACATTCAGAAGTGGAGATAGATACCATCCTCTTTCCTTCAGGGAAAGCATTTTGCCATGGGGGGAAAGTAGGGAACTGGTACTAAAAGGAAAGGTACTAAACCCCAACCAGCCCATGTCCATCTTGGAAACCTCAGGAAAAGCCTGAAGATCCTTTATGGATTCTCCAAATACCTAAACAGAAGCAGGATTTCCATGAATGCTCAGTTGCCTGTGGGGAATCCAGTTTTGTAAATACAGCTGTGAAATGAAGAGGGGCTGATCTATTTTGGTGGAAAACGAAGCAAAATCCTCTTACAATCACTTCAATTAGAAACTAAGCAAAACAAAATAAAAGTGCTGCCAGTGATATACTGGAAACATCTGGCAAGATTAAATCAAGGAGTGTCACACAATCCAAACACTAAAAGTCCCTTGGCAAGTAGAAGATGCCTGGGAGTAACTATGAAGCAGATTTGAATAGGAACTATTCTGAATATGAGCTTCACAGAGATGATCTGGAAAAATCACAGACTAACAGTGGAGTGCTATTCTACATATTATTCATTCGGAGCAACCCGCTTCATTTAACCATCTCATAGTGTAGTGGCCTTTACATTCAATTCATCCCATTCAGTCAGTGGTCTTTAGCAAGTATGCATTGTAGTAAACAGTCGTTAAATTCAATGAGTATTCACTTGCTCATTCACTCATCAGCCAAACACACAGTGAGAGGTTCCTTCCTGCTGGGGCACACACCAGAGCCCAGGATGGAGTGAGAGAGATGTTTGCCATTCCCTCTGTCCTTGAGAGGCTCTTGTCCACTTGAGGGGAGCAGCGGGCAGTTACATGATGGGGTGTGGACACCGACTGCCTCCTGCATTTTATGTATGCGTTACTTTGTATGTGGGTAATTGTGCCTGCCTCACGACAACTGAGATACCTCCTTCATCCAGATTTTGGTCATCAGATATAATTGGTTAGGCGTTGAGGGTAGGTGCAGGCAGGCCTGGGCAGTGTAGAGTGGGTGTGATTGAGCGAGCCTTGCCTAAGAGATTTTCCTGTCAGACCCAACTGTGCTCGATGCATAGATCTGAGGGGTTTGGTGTGCTACAGTTGCTCACGCCATCCTTACCCCACCCACCCTGAAGCGCATGCCCACAGGGCCACTGTATGCACGGGAGCCGCAAGCCCTAGGCCTGTGCTGTCTAGTGTGTGGGGTAACACAGAGTGCCTGCTTTGGATGAGAACTGCTGTGAGGCTGATACACACACAGGTATTTATATACAGAATAAAAAGTGATAAACACATTTCGAGGATTTTTATATAGATCGTACATTCAATTGATCATATTCTGGGAAATTGTGTTCAACGCAATAGATTAGTAAAACCATTTTACCTGGATTCTTTTTATGATTTTTAAGGTGCCTACTAGAAAATTTAACTGTGCACATGAGGTCATTTGCATTTCCTTTTGAATGTTATGTCTTGGAGGGGAAGTCTTGGCTGCTGCAGGTGGTAGATTCTGCAGCCCTTGGAGGTTAGTTGTGTAAAGACAATGGATGAGGGCTGACAAGATAGCTCAGTGCACTTGGGAATCGCAGGGACTGGGGTTCAATCCCCGGCACCACATGCCATGCTGGCCCCACGCCTGGACGCACTCAGCTTGCCATGGAGACCAAGACCTGGTGTGGTGGTGCATGCCTCTAATCCCAGCCCTGGGGAGGCTGATCCTCCTAGGGGAATTGCTAGGAGTCTAGCTGCTTAATGAGACCCTGTACCAAATACAAAAAGAAAAAATAAATAGATAAACAATTGTATGTAGAATTTCCAATGCTTGGCCATTGGACCTTTAACTTATATGATTTTTAACATGTTACTCAACTTCCCTGATTTTTAGCTTTCTTGTTTATAAATAAACATGAGCTGTCTACCTCTTCCTAAGCCCCACCTACAGTAGGACTGGAAACCATGCATGCATTGTAGCTTCTACGCTGTGGGTTTATGGGACAACAATGGCCACTGTTGCTGCTCCTCCTTTTCCTCTTTCTTTTCCTCTTCTCCCACTTCTTCCTCATCTCTGTTTTATGGTGATGCTGAGGATAGCAGTGATGAGTGAAGGTGCAGGAGCTTCTAGAGCCCATTCCCTCTTTTCCTATCCAGTTGGCCACAGAAGAGAGGAAAGGCAGCTCTAGTGACCAGGGAGTTTTCAAGGCTGCCTGCCCTTCAGAGGGAGCCTAACTGCATAGGTAACTCACAGGAAGTAAGGTGTGGGTGCAATGGCTCTGGCCCTCAGGTGGCAAAGTTGAGATCTGTGAGCAGAGATGGGCTTGGATCTGCATCCCAGCAGGGAGTTACCTCATGGTCATCACGGAGAGTGACTAGGTGGAGCAGAGGCTGGCATGGTGTCGGGCTGCCCTCCTTCTGGGTGTCCACTGCAGAAGACAGGCTTTAGTCCAGATGCTCCTGGATCACTGTATACCTCACTGTCTCCCACTTTTCAAGACTTTTAATGGTTCCGTAGCTTTCTGCCAAGAGCTGTATTATAGTTCCAGCCACTGGCTGCTACTGAAGTCATAGCTAGACTGAATAACTCAGCAATTATAAGTCACTGTTTTCAGTCCAAGCTGTGCCATTTTTCCCTTTCCCTGTGGCCACACATATGGCACAGGTAATGTGTGCTGCAGCCTTGTGTGGCAGTTGGCCCTGTTCCATTTCTGGCTTACCCTGAGGTGACTATGCTTGGAGACTGTGAGTCAACACATCATCCAGGTACCCTGCTGCCCACCAGAATGGTAGAGTGGGGCATTTGAGTTCACTGCATTTGACTTCAGGTCCTGAGCTCTCACTGGCTGGATGTGTTACTTAGGAAGCATCTTTATATCCCAGATTCAC